TTGCTTTTGAAAACTTTAATTACTCTTTTTTTCTGGATGTAAATGGCTTTTCCCGGATGACTACTTCCTCTGGTATCAGGTGATGTGCCGTTGGAAGAATTTTTACTGAAATATTTTTTTTTACTTTTGGGAATTTGTTAGGATGCGTAACCATAACAACAAGGTGGTTTTCTACAACTGGGAGCAGCTGATTAACAACTCAAAAGTTAAAAAATATCTCAACTACAGCACCAAATTCTAAATGAGTTGGAAAAGGAGGTGCCGTTGATGCATTCCCATCTAGCTGGAGGCGGTGCTCCAGTGCCTGACTGCAGAGATCTTGGAGGGAAATGCGGCTCATGACAGTGGGAGAACCGAGATCGTCCACCAGCACCTGCAGTTAAGTGTGTGGCTATGAGTGGCTCGCTCGGCAGCTGCTGGGAGAAATGGTCATTGTTCGGGGAGGAGTTCTGCCCAGCATTCAGGCAGTCCTGCTGCCCAAGAGGACCAAGAGGTCTGCTGGGTCTGGGTGGACGGATCGGCATCTGCAGCTAGTTTCTTCTGATCCGCTTTTGGATGGACTGTTACAAGAGACCCTTCCTGCCCAAGCCATCAGCATCTATAACAACTCTAATGAAACCAAATGATGAGCTACAACAAGAATTAATTTCCCTTTGGGATTAATAAAGCATTTTTGAATTGATTGAATTGAATAATTTTAGGTTGAAAGGGGTCGAAATTTAAATATTTCATACAAAGATTGGCTGATTTTTTTTTCCTTAAACATGACATGTTCACAACATTCCAAACCCATCTGTTGTTGTTAAGTGCATGAGCTAAAAGCATGTTTCTGCAACAATGTAAGAAAACAGATAAGAAGATAAGACAAGTAGAAAAGTGTGTGGTGTGTGTTCAGGTTGTGCATCTCTGGGCTGTGGTTGATACAATACATAACTACACTGCCAGGGATTTGATTTATTGAACATAAATTAAAAAATATAATTCATTTAGCCTTAAATCACAATAATATTCAGCCTTTGATCTCAAAACAAATCAACATTTAGGTGTGATACAATTTTGACTTTAATCGCGCTGCAATAGCGTTTAGTCGTGATGCAGTTCAGGCATTGAACCAGTTTCATCACACCTGTTTATGAAATTTACGCTCGTCTTGTATGAATATTAAATGAATCCCACAGTTCTATGAAAGGCAACAAATATTAAATTGTCGGTGACACTTGAAGCTTTTAAAGCCTAAGCAGTTCCAAACATCTGAAGATGCTTCTGTCTCTGCTACGTGCTCAGACTTTCTCCTGACCTTTGCCCTTGGAGGTATTTGTCTTAGTGAATCATCTGCCTTTGCTCACCCTCAGTATGGAGCCTCATCTACATTCCTTCGTGCCGAACCCTGCTTCCGTAGGCTACGAGCTTCTCTACGTCTGTTTATTTTGATCTTACCACAAATACAGGGAGGAAATGGCGTTATGTAACATTTGTCTGGAAAAAAACTGACTTGTTCTGTTGAGAAGGATGTGAGAAAGACTTTAATTTTTTTTTAACCACCAAGAGATTTAAAACTAAAAACTGTTAGCTCATTTTTTCCCATTTCTTTATTTATTGTCTATTTATGTTTAGTCGCGTTTATTTGGTCACTGTTCATAGCATAGGCTTGTTACTTTCTGGAATTACTTATTTCTAAGGCTAAATTATTATTTTTTTGTTTTACATTGCTTTTTATATACTTTTTAATACTCTTTACTTTATACATGCTTCCATTAGGTAAAGTTATTAAACAGCATGGGATAAATTTCCATTGTTATGCTGATGACACACAATTATATTTGTCCATTAAACCCAATGAATCCAATCAGCTACTTAGACTACGAGCATGTCTTAAAGACACAAAAACCTGGATGACCCTTAATTTTCTCCTGTTGAACAGACAAGACTGAGGTTTTGGTTTTTGGACCTGAGCATCTTAGGAATGAATTTTTCAGTCTTTCTCCCTCCTTATATGCATTAATCTGTCCTCCAGCTCTAATGTTAAAAATATTGGTGTTATTTTTGATCAGGACATGTCTTTTATCCCCCACATTAAAAACGTTACTAGAACCACCTTCTTCCACCTGCGTAATATCACTAACATTAGAAACATCTGATCTAAAGATGATGCAGAAAAACTGGTCCGTGCATTTGTCACGTCTAGACTGGACTATTGCAATGGTTTGTTATCTGGATGTCCAAATACTTCTTTAAAACGTCTTCAGTTGATCCAAAATGCTGCTGCTAGAGTCTTAACTGGAGTTACTGGGAGAGAGCATATTTCTCCAGTTTTAGTTTCTCTCCATTGGCTCCCTGTCAAATCCAGAATATAATTCAAAATCTTACTTCTAACTTACAAAGCTCTCAACAACCTAGCTCCATCTTATATTACAGATCTTATTGTTCCATATTTTCCTAACAGAACACTTCGCTCTCAGGCTGCAGGTTTACTTGTGGTTCCTAGAGTTTACAAAAACAGAATGGGAGGAAGATCTTTCAGTTATCAGGCTCCTCTCTTGTGGAACCAACTTCCAATCTCTGTCCGTGAGGCTGACACATGGTCCAGTTTTAAAACTAGGCTTAAGACTTTTCCTTTTTGATAAATCCTATAGTTGGGGTCGGCTTGGGTTTCCTGAGCCGTCCCTTAGTTATGCTGCTATAGGCTTAGACTGCTGGAGGACAAACTGACCATACTTTTCACTCTGCTACTGTCTTTTCTTACTCTGCTCAACCTGTTTTGTATTTGTAATTATTTTTTCTATCCTTAACTTGTTTTTTTTTGTCTTTCAGATACACCTGGACCTATACCTGGACCTGGACCTATACCTGGACCTACCATTCTGTGTTCGTCTGTCTCTCCTTCCTGTTCATCTCAAACCAGCCGGTCAAAGCAGATGACCGCTTGTCCTGAGCTGGTTCTGTTGGAGGTTTCTTCCTGTTAAAAGGGAGTTTTTCCTTTCCACTGTTGCCACTGTGCTTGCTCAGGATGGGAGACTGCAACGAAGCCAAGATTCAACTTGTCTGCTGGATTCCTTAGATAGAGAACTTTACTGATTGGCTTTTATGTGAATGTTCCTGTAAAGTGCCCTGAGACAACTTTGTTGTGATTTGGTGCTACATAAATAAACTGAGTTGAATTGAATTATTTAAGTTTGTCATAAAAAATAATTTATTGTAATATTTATGAACAGGACTTGATGTAAGTAAAGCATTTTGACTTTGCCAGGCAGAATATCTCCTTTATCTAGTGTGTTGTTCAGTTTGACTTTAATTCTTACCTAAATAAAGAAATTATAGTATAAATTACTTTAATTGTGCAAACCTAAAAAAATACCAACAGATCATCTTGTTGATAAGAGAAGTAGGAACTGTAAAGTGCAGTTGGCCTGGGGTCAGATTATAATGACAGTAATAACTGGACCAATAAAATGAAAATGACTTCAATTGAGTCTCATTTTGACCAGACGTGTCAAACTGTTTCCCAGACTCCTGTCTGCATTTATTGTGGGAAACAGGAAACTGTTGTCTGACCCACAAAAATGCTGCGACCCTAAAGACATTCAATGTTCTTAATGTTTAATTACGCCTTATGTCGATGCAACAGAAAGAGAGAATCAGGTATTTGTTTGTACACAAGTTAATTTTTTATCAGTTCCTTTTCCATCCTGCTTCGTTTCTGCTTGAGGCCCAGACTTCCCTCCCCAGCCACTTGGACCAGCTCCTCCAGGGGAATCCCAGGGCGTTCCAAGTGTTTACTTATGTAGGTAAAACTAGATGTTAAACAACCATTAAAATGCACCAGGATGCAGGAAATGGCATCTACTTTATTCAAAATTTTATGGGGGAGGACCCCCAGACCCCCCCATCAGTGTGTCCCCCCCCCCCCCACACACATTATAAATGCACCAGTGGCTAACACGTTATTAAACATGTACACATATGGTGTCATGTGGTGTTCAAAGTGCGTTCAACTTAATTCAGTCTTGATGATTTGTGTCAATGAGCATTTTGAGTTTTATATATAAAAATACACTTGAGAGTTAGAATTTTAAGTATATTTACTGTATATTATGGTAATTTATTCTGTATTTGGCCAGATTATGGTGATTCTGGGGTCATGATGATGGAGCCCTTGAAGATTGTTGCCCAGGGTACAGCAAGTGTTAATCTGGCTCGATAGATTATCTCTCCAAAGGAAAAGGGCTCACTAACACAAACTTACACACATTTGTGAACAATATTTGAGAACACAGAAAAAGTCTTAGATCTTAAAGTTCAGCTCGTGAAAAAATGGGAGCAAAACCAAAAGTGCAGCATTTATAATTTTGTTCAGTGTATTTTCAGGCATTTATATCTGGATTCTGCAGCAGAAGCTCCGAATCAACAACAAAATAACAGTCCTATTATCCATCTCTACTTTTAGAGTAAAAATACACCAAAAGATAAATGTGTTGTTTTTTTAAGTCGTCACAAATACACAATCGTGGCTCCGATTAGATACGCTGTGACCCTAAACTGCTAAAACTCAATTGTGTTTTTTGACACTACAGTAAAATCTTCCTGCAGCTGCGTGGAGCATATCGTCTCAGGCAGGATGTTCGAACAACAAAAGCGCCCCCCTCTCCTCCTGCACCCTAGAACAGGACATGAGTGGACATCCTGCCTGCACCAGTCTCTTCCTCTGTTACAGTCAAAGATTAATAGCGAGCGGACAGCTTTGGCTATTTCTCAAGGTCCTGACAGGATCTCAAAACCTGGTTCTTGAATTAGAATACAGTCGAATCCAAAACGAGAACACACAGAACGCCACGCCCATGAATTCAGCCGATAGCTGAAAACTCCAGACAAGATGCAGCAGGAGTCCAGCCAAGTCATGAACATCATCCAGCAGCAGGAAGGAGCTCGGGAGGTTGGTTTTAGTTTTTGCAGGTTGCACACGCTCGTACAAGCTCGGCGCACAAGCGTTTCATACAACGTACCTTCTGTCCAGCTGTGCTCGTCCCACTGCCCGCCTGCCCCGAGCTGGGAAAACTCTGAGAAATGTTTCACTGGGAAAAGGAGGAAGACGCTGATAAGATTTCTAAACTCCGACGCAAGGGTTAATTTTTACGTTATCTCCTACCGTAGGGCGTTGGAGGAGACATCGGGAATGTTGGAGTTACAGGGGAGATGTCCGAGCTGTCCATTTGGCTGCAAAAGTCCACACTGTTGGTCTTGTTGAGATGCCCATGCTTTAAAAAAAAAAAGAAAAAAAGCACAGAGAAGTAAAATAATATATAGTTTTAATAAGTGACCCCACACACACACACACACACACACACACACAGACCAGCAGACATCGGTCTTGTGATCTGTGTGGCTGCAGCCTTTGCTTTTGGTGTAAACAGTTGAACTATTCATGCCACGCAGACGTAAAAGACTGAGTGCAAGAAGAGAAAAGTCGAGACTTTGGAATAAGACAGAGATCCAAAGGTGCAGACATAATCAATTATCTGCAACAAATTTAAACAGATCAATATATTCTCCTGTATTCTGTGCCCTTTTCACGCCGTTAAAGGGAAATTTAACCCCCAAAACGTGTCTAGAATCCTCTAAAGGCACATTAATTTACTGTTTAGATACAATATATGTATATTAAGGCTTAGTTTTTAACAGCAACTTGCTCTTTGTTACCTGATTTGAAAAAATACAAACATTCTTGCACTATACGTGTTTTAAGAGCATAAATACAACAGTTAACCTCAACTTGGGTACAAAAAGGCTTATCACCACAGTTTTTATTTTTCGTACCAATTGTTTTTGGAGGATATGTCATTTGGGATCATTTGAGCATCTTAATTAGTTTCTGGAATAATCTGAGGACCCTCGTTTGCCGTTCCACGACCCACAGTGGGGCTCCAACCACATCTTTGGGAATCACTGCTTTAGGGAATTAAACTTGTAGGAAGTATTTATTTTCTTAGCTCTTTTTTTGAACTTAGCACTAGTCAACTTGTGTTTCTGAAGCAAACATTTCTAAAGACTCTGAAAGAGTTAAAAGGACTTTTAGTTTGAATATGACGTTGTTACGAGGAGCTGCATGTTTGCTTTTGCACTGCCAAGGCAGCACAGTGATTACGCAACACTCAGCTGGCGGTCAAAGCGGACACGTCCCTGACGCAGGTGACTTTGGACCAACAAAAACAATGGAGGATGTTGTAGCGGAAGCTGCATGTAGTGGCTCTTTTGCTTTGATTTTCAAAAGTTGGAAAGAGTGCTACAGATGATGTTGAGGTTCTCCTTAGGAGTGAGTTAGTGGGAGAGATCATATCTCTCCAGTCTTAGCTTCTCTCCATTGGCTCCCTGTCAAGTCCAAAATAGAATTCAAAATCTTACTTCTAACCTACAAAGCCCTCAACAACCTAGCTCCATCTTACAGATCTTAATGTTCCATATATTCCTAACAGAGCCCTTCACTCTCAAACTCCAGGTTTACTTGTGGTTCCTAGAGTGACCAAAAGCAGAACGGGAGGCAGATCTTTCAGTTATCAGGCTCCTCTCTTGTGGAACCAAGACACATTGTCCAGTTTTAAGACTGGGATTAAGACTTTCCTTTTTGATAAATCCTATAGTTAGGGTCAGCTTGGGTTTCCTGAGCTGTCCCTTAGTTGTGCTGTTATAGGCTTAGACTGCTGGAGGACAAATTGACCACATGTCATCTATCTGCTGCTGTCTTTACTTTACCTTCTCTACCGGTTTTTATTTGTTATTTTTGCCTTGACGTTGTTTTTTTTTGTTGTCTTTCTTCTAGTATAATAGTAATCACCCTTACAGCGCATCACTGAAGAGTGGCTATTGAGCTAAGATGGCACCTACTCTGAAGTAGGAGCCTAAAGAAGACCTGATAAATGTGCATATGTGGACGGTGATCGTCCACTGTACCACCGGTACAAAAACCAGAACGCAGACAAACTGTCTCAAGTGATTTTTAAAGACTGTGAAGTGAAAACACAAAGAGACTGGAGAAAGTTCTGCACTCTCTGCAAGGCTATATAACAACTCCTCGTCTTTATTTAGTATTACCACCCCAGTGATGTTTTGTAATAAATATGAGCATGAGTGACGTCATCCAGTAACAAAGTGTTGTGTAGTTTTGTTGTTTGTTTTAAGCTGCAGCCTGTTGTGGGTTAAATATCTGCAGTCAGGTGAGGCGGAGCAGTGCTTACCTGCGAGGACGAGAAGGCGGGACTGTTGGCCGAGGGGCCTTTAAAGCTCTGAGGTCCACCCCCTCTCCATCTTGGACTCTGCAGACCGGTGTGACCCATCACGTCACTGAAATGTTTCTGCTGTTTCCAGCCTGGTCAGGAGCGGGGTGAGGTGGGAGACAGTGAAACAGACCCGTCATCTTTAGACATGTGCTGTTTTTAAATGCAACAGAACTGTTGTGGCTAGTTTTCATTTTTAAAGCCATAACACTGAATCAGTCGGACACTTGGCTGTGAACAAACGCCAAGTTGGCAATAAAAGGTGACGACTGTGATGAGTGTGTGACAATAGCTTCTATCAGCGTGTTCGTCAGCTGAACGGTCGTTCGGGCTGAGCAGGCCTTTGCTGTGAACAGATACATCACGGTGCTTCGTTGGAAAAACATCTGCTGGAAAAATCACTTTTCTCAGATATGACTCCTCCGAGGTCAGAGCTACTCAAAAACAAACCAATAATTCAAGTATCTGCTCTACAGCACGAAGAAGAAAACCTTAGGACAGTTTCTGTAAAAACAAATTATGAAATCAATAGATTTTGGAGCATTATAGGATTATTGTTAACTTGCAGCGTCAACATATTGTTCAAGTCTGTCAGAAGTAAAATAGATAACTGAGAACTTTGTTCACAAGCAAAACAAAAACTATTGATTCTATAAGCTTTTTGCTGCTCTGTGCAGATGGGCGGATACCTAGATGAACTAAAAGTGATTCACCGCCTTTAATTAAAGAAATGAGTAAACAGTCAAGGCTTGAAATGCCTTTTCCTTTAATTAAAAGAAAATCCACTTTTTGGGGCTACTTTAGCAGTGGTTGCTCTTTATTGCTTGAACCACGTCTAGCATGCACAGTCTTACAGCCGACGGTCAAATGAAAACGATTGGTTTTCTATATTTTTATTGACTGACATGATTTTAAAGTCTATATCTTGCTGGGTTGTGACTTTTGACAACAAATGCAAAATGTATATAAACTCCTGACTGGGACTGGCTCAAATCTTAACGGGGGTTTGGGAAAATGCATTGCTGCAAGTCGGCAACAGTTGCAGCCAAAGAGACACAGATTTAACAATTGGCATTAAACAAAAAATATATATATTTCTGTCAATATCCAGTCAGTTGCACCCATTTGTCACTTATAGAAAATAATTTATAAAATAATGTAAAAATGCAACTTTTGCTCTCTTATTTTAAAACATATCCACCTAAAATATTTCTTTCAAAATGGGGGCCAGGCGATATGGGGATCTCAGAAAGCTGGAGAGAAGTAAATAATTTTTAAAAAGCAACAAAAAAAAGTGTTAATTTAAAAAAAAAAGTGTTTTAAATTGCTGTAATAAAATCAAATCTATTTTTCAATAATTATTGTAAAATATATTTCATAATAATATATTGAAATATTTTTCACCACGCTCATCTTTCTGATTGGCTTCTAGTCAAATGTATCAAGCTGCTTTACTCTGCAAGCATGGCAAGGACGCAACGGAGAAGTTTTTAAAAAGGCCGAAGGAACCGACCAGCCGCCCTGCTGTGGTGGAAACTGCTGCAAATAAACAAAGAACTCACGGCCAGCTAAAATTCGAACGTATGAATAAGCAAACATTAAGTATGGTTTTACAGTCGTACAGAAAAATGGACCTCCGTCTGGAGACCCTCGCAAACGAGTGCTTAAAATCTTCGAAACTTGAGCTCCACTTGAGAGGGAGAATAATATGTTTAAAACATATTAGTTAATAACGTTTTCACGCTCAGCAGCTGTAAGAATTAATTGAATATAGTGAATAAAAGTTAAAATATTCAAAAAATATATATGTCTCTTTATACTTATGCTTTGAGAACCACTTGGTACCACCACATTTCTAAAAGTTGATGTTTCTTTGTATATTTTGTAGCATTGTTTGTGGGTTTGCGAGACGGGCCTCGGCCAGAAGCTAATGCTGTTTGGGGGCCATGGCGTGGAAAAGATTGGGAACCCCTGGACTAAACAACCCTGTACTGGCTCACTGCATGCAATATACAACCAGGCAATACATGTTTTGTTCATTCATACAAAAAAATCTTAACGTTTCTCTTTAAACCAGTGACAACTCAAAGTGCAAGTTTATTGCAGAACAAAATCCACAAACTCCAACACGTCGTGATGATTTGCTGTACACGAGATCATACTAACACACAAACAGCGACGTACAAAATGTTCAGCGCTCGACTTTCGTTTCGTTTCTGTTGTCACAGACGTGCACGACTGCAAGGCTAAAATACTGAAACCAATCCGACTACTGTCCCAGTGGCAGAGCAGCCGAAGGAGCTTCCTCGGAGTTTGCTCAGTCTCAAGTGTCACTTAATGTCCACCACTTCTTCTCTTTTGAAGATGACGATGATGAGAGAGCGAAGGCCCTGTGTCAAAACCTCAAAAGCATTCCTGATCTCCAACAAGTTTCTGCTTCAAAAAGTCTCCTGAAAAACACTTACGGTAATGACGCGAGTGTTAGTTACAGCTTAAAATGCGCCTCGGGGAGATGTCAGCCTCCCGTGCCGTGAAACACTCGACCTACATGTGTGCAAACACTCGGGCTCCACTTCCTGCTCATAAATTTTAGGTTTCAGTGTGAGCTAATAGTAAAGGATAAGAGCTTAAACGGTGGCGGTCACACAACCCAAAAACCACAACAGTTGGTTCAAAAGCCAAAAACGCAAGACTCAGCTGCTGCGAAGGCCCCCCCCCCCCCCCCCCCGGTCAGATCTGTGTTGGAAGATTTCACATGAAAACCACAGAGAGGTCAAAGGTCACAGAACGACCCTTCCTTTAGGCATAATCCCAAATGATATGTAATAAATTCATCAAGTTTCAGCCAGACGGGGGAAAAAACACAACGCAGGAAAAGGTCATTTGAGCCGTAAAACAGGCAGCTTTAAAATTAAACATTAAAATAAAAAAATGGGAAAATTACAGTTGTTTTTTTTTTTGTCTTAAGATGCTCATGAAAAAAAATCATGCTTTGATTCTTCTTGCACCAAACTACTGCATTCAACTACACTTTGACGCGTTTGAATAAATAATTTTTTTCCAAGGAAGTTATGAATTTTACCAGAATACCGTCATTTCTGGTCTATAAGCCGCTACTTTTTTCACACACTTTGAACCTCTGGGTTATACAATCCTACAGCTAATTTATGGGGGTTTTTTTTGACCGGCTAAAAAGCTTCTTGCCGCCAAAAACATTTAGTTTCATCACACCCGGGCACCCCCCTCTCTTGGGGGGGTGGGTCCTCATGATTCAGTAAAACTACCTGTATGAATAAAGGTAAAAAAAATCTGACCAATGAAATTACCAAGCAGGTCACAGTGAAACCAATGAAACGGGGAGGGGAGGAGAACGGGAGGGAGGATTCCCCCCATGCACAACGCATGTGAGGGGGACCCCCCTGCAAGCTTGCTGCAGGGGCAGTGTTGCCAGGTGTACGATAATTATCGTATTTGTATGACGATTTTGCCCTCTGTACGATCAATAATCCCAAAAAAGGCCAAATATACGATAATTTGACCATTCTGTGAATGTGTGGTTGTAATCAGTTGTCATCAGCCTCTCGCAACTGTCTGTCCGAGTTTTTTTTGTGAACCCTGAAGGCATCTGTGTCCGCAAACAGATGCAGGATTGGCTGAAAATTCCAGCCAGTCGTGCTTTTCTAAATGTGACCTACGAGTGACGTGTTTGCGTTTGCCTCAGAACAACGGCCATGATTGGCTGAATGGTCCGTTGCGCCCGCCCCATGAGTGAGGAAAAGAAAAGAAGAAGAAGCAGAGCCGGTCTGGAAGCGGAACCATCACTACTATAGCGCATCAATAGATTTGTTATTCTGGTTATGACGGGTGCATGATAATTTAACTCAAAATACGATAATTTTATGTCTCTAGTACGATAATCCTACATTTCTCACCTGGCAACACTGTGCAGGAGGCAAATGAAGATAGTGATCAGTGATTTCCTGGTAGGCTACTGTATTTTATCGACACCAACAGAGAGACTGAGGACGTGTGTGATGACGTTTTTCTGAGGCTGTTCAATTCTGACACTGAAGAAGACGACTTTAGTGGTTTTAGTGCACAGGAGGAAGAGAAAGAAAGAGATCAATGACTTTTCCTTATAAGCTACTGTACGTTTTTTTTTTTTT